CTTCCAATTGTGACCTCTTGTGTCTGTGTCCCATCTCTGGAACATCCTGTCTTTGTCCACCTTGTCTATTCCACACAGTATTTTATATGTCGTTATCATGTCTCCCCTGACCCTCCTGGCCTCCAGTGTCGTCAGGCCGATTTCCCTCAACCTTTCTTTGTAGGACAATCCCCGTAGCTCTGGGACTAGTCTTGTTGCAAACCTTTGCACTTTCTCTAATTTCTTGACGTGCTTCACTAGGTGTGGATTCCAAACTGGTGCTGCATACTCCAGTATGGGCCTGACGTAAATGGTATACAGAGTCTTGAACGACTCCTTACTGAGGTATCGGAACGCTATCCGTAGGTTTGCCAGGCGCCCGTATGCTGCAGCAGTTATCTGATTGATGTGCGCCTCAGGAGATATGCTCGGTGTTATACTCACCCCCAGATCTTTTTCCTTGAGTGAGGTTTGCAGACTTTGGCCATCTAAACTATATTGTGTCTGCGGTCTTCTTTTCCCTTCCCCAATCTTCATGACTTTGCATTTGGTGGGGTTAAACTCAAGGAGCCAGTTGCTGGACCAGGCTTGTAGCCTGTCCAGGTCTCTTTGTAGTCCTGCCTGATCCTCATCCGATTTGATTCTTCTCATTAACTTCACATCGTCCGCAAACAAGGACACTTCTGAGTCTATCCCTTCCGTTATGTCATCCACATATACCAAGAACAGCACAGGTCCTAGGACTGACCCCTGTGGAACCCCGCTTGTCACAGGCGCCCACTTTGACACCTCGTCACGTACCATGACTCGTTGTTGCTTCCCTGTAAGGTATTCTCTTATCCATTGCAGTGCCTGATCCTCTAGCTTTTGCAGTAACCTCTTGTGAGGAACTGTGTCGAAGGCCTTCTTGCAGTCCAAAAAAATGCAGTCGATCCACCCCTCTCTCTCTTGTCTTACTTCTGTCACCTTGTCATAAAACTCTAATAGGTTTGTGACACAGGATTTTCCCTCCCTGAAACCATGCTGGTTGTCAATTATACACTTGTTTCTTTCCAGGTGCTCCACCACTCTCCTCCTGATGATCTTCTCCATGACCTTGCATACTATACACGTTAGTGATACAGGTCTGTAGTTTAGTGCCTCATGTCTGTCTCCCTTTTTAAAAATTGGGACTACATTTGCCATCTTCCATACCTCGGGGAGTTGCCCAGTTTCAAATGATGTGTTGAAGATCTTTGTTAATGGTACACACAATGTCTCTGCTCCCTCTTTAAGGACCCACGGAGAGATGTTGTTTCGTCCCACCGCCTTTGAGGTGTCAAGTTCGCATAGCAGCTTCTTCACCTCCTCCTTGGTTATATGTACCTCATCCAGCACTTGCTGGTGCACCCCCCTGCTCTGATTTCCTGGAGTCCTACTGGTTTCCACTGTAAATACTTCTTTAAATCTTGTGTTGAGCTCCTGACATACCTCCCGGTCGTTTCTTGTGAATTCCCCATCACCCTTCCTCAGTCTGATTACCTGGTCCTTGACTGTTGTTTTCCTCCTGATGTGGCTGTACAACAGCTTCGGGTCAGTCTTGACTTTCGATGCTATGTCATTTTCGTATTGCCGCTGAGCCTCCCTTGTGTGTGTGTGTGTGTGTGTGTGTGTGTGTGTGTGTGTGTGTGTGTGTGTGTGTGTGTGATCAATACACACTTGGTGACAGACTCAACAATAATACATTCATATACAGAGAAACACATGACAACACACGAGTTGGTTGAGGCGCTCAACCAACTCGGATGTGTATGAGGATGTCTTATTTTGTGGGTGCAGATGCATATACGGATGTCTGTTTACAGTAAAATGCAGATGTGGATGTAAGAAATTGTGAGGATGTTCCACAGATGCAGATATCCGATACATCTCTAGTTGAGAGAAACTCTGCTGTTGAGCACAAGTGTTCCTAATATGATGTTTCGCCCGTGTAACAAACTTGTGAAAGGTATTCATTATCTCCAAGACCGACGGACTGATTATCTCTTTTTTTTTGTACATAGTTTTACAGTCTTTCTATTATATCCAAGAATTTGTTTTAATAAAGCCACTGGTTGACGAATAGTCTAGAAATAAATATACCCAGGAGGCCTGGTCACAGACCGGGCCGCGGGGGCGTTGACCCCCGGAACTCTCTCCAGGTAAACTCCAGGTATGTGTCTGATTCTTCATCTTGTAAAAGTCTGTCTTACACACTTGAAATATGACTTACACAATATTGAACAAGTCTCTTACAAACCTGAAAATCCATCTAAAAACAATCTATTTGTTTCTATTTTATGTATATCCTGACCTCACACTGGGCCCCTCTTCAGCAGATACATGAGATAGGAGAAGAGTATTACGTAGAAGAAAATAAATACAATGGATCACGTGAAGAATGGTGAAAAATTAAGGTTTTAACACTGACAATTGAAGCAAGATATGAGTAGAAATTCGCTGGTTATGAAATTACTTCAAAAATTTGTATTGCAGACTACCTGGAGTTTACCTGGAGTGAGTTCCGGGGGTCAACGCCCCCGCGGCCCGGTCTGTGACCAGGCCTTCTTAGGTCAGTGTCCCAGGATGCGACCCACACCAGTCGACTAACACCCAGGTACCCATTTTACTGATGGGGAACATAGACAACAGGTGGAAAGAAACACGTCCAATGTTTCTACTCTGGCTGGGAATCGAACCCAGGCCCTCACCGTGTGAAGCGAGAGCGTTAACCACCAGGCCACCAGAGCCACAGAGCCATTATACAGAACTTTGGATATGAAGAGGAAGTTTGAAGCAGTGAGAGGGATAAGATAATCTTACTGACTCATGCTTCCTGTACCAAGGATAATTTTCGCGGATCTTACCGTATGAGAGGCGTAAGAATATCGAAAGAGAGGATGAGGTCGCGCCCGGCACTGGAGTCAGCAGCAATGTTGCTCAGTGCCCAGGCTGTTGTGTGGCATAGTTCCTGGTGGGTAGAATGCTTCATCAGGGCCGCCAGGCTGCCCACACCACCAGCATTAACCACAGCCTGGGTGTGAGTACTCATACTTGCTGCTATGTTGCACAATACCCATGCTGCTTCATGCTGCAACATAACATTCTCTGTTAATATATAGTCCATTCAAACCCTTTCACAGAAGCGATCCAAACATTCCTCATCACTGGTGGACACTCCAAATAAATCATAAAAACTGAAACTGGCATCCGCAAGAACCAGACACATGAACTAAGTAAGGCAACAGCAGCACTACGTCACTCCATGGTATGTGACCCTATTCAAAATCAATATCTATTCATTTTCCCCCAAAAATTCCTAAATCACAACCAAAGCTTTGCCTTGGAGCCAAGCAGGATGACTTAAGCTATATAATGACTTAGTCACCCATTGCACTCCTTCATTTACATTGTTGGTTCTGTTCACCAGTCCACTGGTGCAGCTGGTAGTGCTGCTGTTGTCATACAGAGTGATGACTCTCATAAAGAAATTGGAGTAGGCATCAATAACTGGGCCTCTACCCATGAAACAGAACTGTTTGCCATAATCCTTGCGCTCAAATGTGTCCATGTATCAAAGGTTGACACTTTAATTGTAATTGATTCTCTATCATCCAGAAAACAATATGAAGTTCAACGATGAGAAATTTCAATTACTCAGATATGGTAAACACGAGGAAATTAAATCTTCATCAGAGTACAAAACAAATTCCAGCCACACACACCGAAAAACCAACGTCGAAGACCTGGGAGTGATCATGTCGGAGGATCTCACCTTCAAGGACCATAACATTGTATCAATTGCATCTGCTAGAAAAATGACAGGATGGATAATGAGAACCTTCAAAACTAGGGATGCCAAGCCCATGATGACACTCTTCAGGTCACTTGTTTTATCTAGGCTGGAATATTGCTGCACACTAACAGCACCTTTCAAGGCAGGTGAAATTGCTGACCTAGAAAATGTACAGAGGACTTTCATGGTGCGCATAACGGAGATAAAACACCTCAATTACTGGGAGCGCTTGAGGTTCCTGAACCTGTATTCCCTGGAATGCAGACGGGAGAGATACATGATATATACACCTGGAAAATCCTAGAGGGACTAGTACCGAACTTGCACACGAAAATCACTCACTACGAAAGCAAAAGACTCGGCAGACGATGCAGCATCCCCCCAATGAAAAGCAGGGGTGTCACTAGCACGTTAAGAGACAATACAATAAGTGTCAGGGGCCCGAGACTGTTCAACTGCCTCCCAGCATACATAAGGGGGATTACCAACAGACCCCTGGCAGTCTTCAAGCTGGCACTGGACAAGCACCTAAAGTCGGTTCCTGACCAGCCGGGCTGTGGCTTGTACGTTGGTTTGCGTGCAGCCAGCAGTAACAGCCTGGTTGATCAGGCTCTGATCCACCAGTAGGCCTGGTCACAGACCGGGCCGCGGGGGCGTTGACCCCCAGAACTCTCTCTAGGTAAACTCCAGGTAAATGCTCTTAACTACTTAAGTATCAATTGTGGCTTCCTGGTGTTAGAAGTCAGGCATAAGTAAGGTAGGACTGTTCCTGGTGTTAGAAGTCAGGCATAAGTAAGGTAGGACTGTTCCTGGTGTTAGAAGTCAGGCATAAGTAAGGTAGGACTGTTCCTGGTGTTAGAAGTCAGGCATAAGTAAGGTAGGACTGTTCCTGGTGTTAGAAGTCAGGCATAAGTAAGGTAGGACTGTTCCTGGTGTTAGAAGTCAGGCATAAGTAAGGTAGGACTGTTCCTGGTGTTAGAAGTCAGGCATAAGTAAGGTAGGACTGTTCCTGGTGTTAGAAGTCAGGCATAAGTAAGGTAGGACTGTAGACAGCGGGTCGGAATGCACCTTCTGTGGTTTACGTCTCGCAATAGTTTTCAGATGAATGATGGAACTGATGAATCAGATTAGTTATATGCCTTCACAGAAGGAGTAGATTACAATCTTGGGCTACCAGTTGGCAGTTTGAGAACAATAATACGATAAGAACTTCAGTGAACTTAATTGACTTAATACTAAGGGAGACTGACACCAGTCAGTCCATCCCTGGAACGCAGGCGGGAGAGATACATGATTATATACACCTGGAAAATCCTAGAGGGACTAGTACCAAACTTGCACACGAAAATCACTCACTACGAAAGCAAAAGACTTGGCAGACGATGCAACATCCCCCCAATGAAAAGCAGGGGTGTCACTAGCACGTTAAGAGACAATACAATAAGTGTCAGGGGCCCGAGACTGTTCAACTGCCTCCCAGCATACATAAGAGGGATTGCAAATAGACCCCTGGCAGTCTTCAAGCTGGCACTGGACGAGCACCTAAAGTCGGTACCTGACCAACCGGGCTGTGGTTCGTACGTTATATTGCGTGCAGCCACCAGTAACAGCCTGGTTGATATGGCCCTGATCCACCACGAGGCTTGGTCACAGACCGGGCCGCGAGGGCGTTGACCCCCAGAACTCTCTCCAGGTAAACGCCATTATCCTTCTATCATGCAGGAGGAGCCACATGTCTATGATGCATCCGACAGCAAGTGAAAATAACCACTACCACTTTTTTTTGCCCATGTGTGATATAATTCTTGTCTGCATAAACTACTCATAACGATTGTGACCAGATATAAACATGTAAACAGTCAACTGCCATTGTAACTTGCTCAGCTATCAAAACTTGCGGCTGTTTCCTGGACCCATTATGTTCTTCTGTGATGTTGAGGAACAGTCCCTGGACCCATTATGTTCTTCTGTGATGTTGAGGAACAGTCCCTGGACCCATTATGTTCTTCTGTGATGTTGAGGAACAGTCCCTGGACCCATTATGTTCTTCTGTGATGTTGAGGAACAGTCCCTGGACCCATTATGTACTTCTGTGATGTTGAGAAACAGTCCCTGGACCCATTATGTACTTCTGTGATGTTGAGGAACAGTCCCTGGACCCATTATATACTTCTATGATGTTGAACAGTCCCTGAACCCATTATGTACTTCTGTGATGTTGAGGAACAGTCCCTGGACCCATTATGTACTTCTGTGATGTTGAGAAACAGTCCCTGGACCCATTATGTACTTCTGTGATGTTGAGGAACAGTCCCTGGACCCATTATGTACTTCTGTAATCTTTTGACTACCGCCCACAGGATGGGTATACCTAGAGAGAGTTCTGGTGGTCAACGACCCCGCTGCCCCACTCATACACAGTAATACACAGAGCTCTGTTAGAGCTTTCATACACAGTAATACACAGAGCTCTGTTAGAGCTTTCATACACAGTAATACACAGAGCTCTGTTAGAGCTTTCATACACAGTAATACACAGAGCTCTGTTAGAGCTCTCCACTCATACACAAAGATTTTAAACTGGTTGCACTTCTTGACTGATGTTTGTAAACTAAAATGTTCTGAGATTTTATTAAAAATATAAATGGAAATCTAACGTAATTAGAATATAAATATGCATGTAAATTGGCACACCTGTAAATTAACACACATGTAAATTAGCACACTTGTAAATTAACACACCTGTAATTGCCAGTCTTCAGCTTGTAGGAAGTTGACAAGTCTCTTTAGAGCTCCAGACTCTATGATCTTTTGGACGGTAGAGCTGCAGCTCTGACTGGACACCAGTAATCTTAGCTTCCTGGTGGACTTAAGTTGTTCAGTCAAACTATCACTGTTGATGCACTTTGACAGCTCGTCCGTCAAGTGACAGCCATCCGTCAGTGTCATCTGTTGATTTGACAGCTGTGTGAGTGGGCTGGAGTTGACTGGTTAATAGAGTTTCAAGCCTGTCTACTACACGAGAGTCTTTAAGCCTTTATGTCACTGCTCAAATATATTTGAATACATAAGTAATTATTAATATAAACTACCAGTGTATATACGCTGAGATATACACATCAAGGTGTTTATACACTGCCTCTCTACATACATATACAAATTAATACACACTCTCACACACACAGGTGTGTGATGGTGAAGGGCTCTTAATTCAAGGAATCAGAGTTACTCTCACCTTCCTTGGATCAAGCCTGATTGCCTGCCATGCTCCATGTGTTGGGTGACTTGTGCGTTTAGAGCTTCCCTATAATAATAATAATAATAATAATAATAATAATAATAATAATAATAATTGTACTCACAGTATCTGAGTCAGTTGTACAGGGAGGCATCTTGTACTCGTGTTGTTCACTCTAATGTCTGTACTCGTTGTTCACCTGGCTTATACTCCTGTTGTTCACTTCCTTGTTTGTACTCCCGTTGTTCACAACTGTTCTCCTGTTGTTCACGTTCTTATCTGTACAGGGACAGAAATTATCGTTAAATATCAACCCACTTGATAAATACACAGAGATCTGTTAGAGCTCTTCACTCATACACAGTAATACACAGAGCTCTGTTAGAGCTCTCCACTCATACACAGTAATACACAGAGCTGTTAGAGCTCTCCACTCATACACAGTAATACACAGAGCTGTTAGAGCTCTCCACTCATACACAGTAATGCACAGAGCTCTGTTAGAGCTCTCCACTCATACAGTAATACACAGAGCTCTGTTAGAGCTCTCCGCTCATACACAGTAATACACAGAGATCTGTTAGAGCTCTCCGCTCATACACAGTAATACACAGAGATCTGTTAGAGCTCTCCACTCATACACAGTAATACACAGAGAATACCTGACAGGGAGGCAGCAACGAGTCATGGTACGTGAAGAGGTATCACAGTGGGCGCCTGTTACGAGCGGGGTCCCACAGGGGTCAGTTCTAGGACCAGTGCTATTTTTGATATATGTGAACGACATGATGGAAGGAATAGACTCTGAAGTGTCCCTGTTCGCAGATGACTTGAAGTTGATGAGAAGAATTAAATCGGACGAGGACCAGGCAGGACTGCAAAGAGACCTGGACAGGCTGGACATGTGGTCCAGTAACTGGCTTCTCGAATTCAATCCAGCCAAATGCAAAGTCATGAAGATTGGGAAGGGGCAAAGAAGACCGCAGACAGAGTATAGGATAGGTGGACAAAGACTACAGACCTCACTCAGGGAGAAAGACCTTGGGGTGACCATAACACCGAGCACATCACCGGAGGCACACATCAACCAAATAATCGCTGCAGCATACGGGCGCCTGGCAAACCTGAGAATAGCGTTCCGATACCTTAATAAGGAATCTTTCAAGACACTGTACACTGTGTATGTTAGGCCCATACTGGAGTATGCAGCACCAGTCTGGAACCCACACCTGGTCAAGCACGTCAAGAAGTTAGAGAAAGTACAAAGGTTTGCAACAAGGCTAGTCCCAGAGCTCAAGGGAATGTCGTACGAGGAAAGGTTAAGGGAAATCGAACTGACGACACTGGAGGACAGAAGGGTCAGGGGAGACATGATAACGACATACAAGATACTGCGGGGAATAGACAAGGTGGACAGAGATAGGATGTTCCAGAGAGGGGACACAGGGACAAGGGGTCACAACTGGAAGCTGAAGACTCAGATGAGTCACAGGGACGTTAGGAAGTATTTCTTCAGTCATAGAGTCGTCAGGAAGTGGAATAGCCTAGCAAGTGAAGTAGTGGAGGCAGGAGCCATACATAGTTTTAAGAAGAGGTATGGCAAAGCTCAGGAAGCAGAGAGAGAGAGGACCCAGTAGCGATCAGTGAAGAGGCGGGGCCAGGAGCTGAGTCTCGACCCCTGCAACCACAATTAGGTGAGCTCTGTTAGAGCTCTCCATTCATACACAGTAATACACAGAGCTCTGTTAGAGCTCTCCACTCATACACAGTAATACACAGAGCTCTGTTAGAGCTCTTCACTCATACACAGTAATACACAGCTCTGTTAGAGCTCTCCACTCATACACAGTAATACACAGAGCTCTGTTAGAGCTCTCCACTCATACACAGTAATACACAGAGATCTGTTAGAGCTCTCCACTCATACACAGTAATACACAGAGCTCTGTTAGAGCTTTCCATTCATACATAGTAATACACAGAGCTCTGTTAGAGCTCTCCACTCATACACAGTAATATTCAGAGCTCTGTTAGAGCTCTCCACTCATACACTAATACACAGAGCTCTGTTAGAGCTTTCATACACAGTAATACACAGAGCTCTGTTAGAGCTCTCCACTCATACACAGTAATACACAGAGCTGTGTTAGAGCTTTCCACTAATTCACAGTAATACACAGAGCTGTGTTAGAGCTTTCCACTCATACACAGTAATACACAGAGCTGTGTTAGAGCTCTCCACCCATACACAGTAATACACATAGCTCTGTTAGAGCTTTCCACTCATACTCAGTAATACACAGAGCTCTGTAAGAGCTTTCCACTGATACACAGTAATACACAGAGCTCTGTTAGAGCTCTCCACTCATGCACAGTAATACACAGAGCTCTGTTAGAGCTTTCCACTTATACAGAGGAAGAGAGCTTCCTGTTTTTCCTCGGTGGCTTCCTTGAAGCTCTATTTGAATTATACATTATCAGGGAAACAGTAGAGCTCTACAGGTATTACGTCTAGAAATGAACGCTGTCAATTTCTATAACCTAAGGATGAAATTCCGTTAAGAAGAATAAGATAATGATACTTATTCATTCTTAATTATCAAGAAAGATCCTTGCATTAACTTACCTTAATGAAATGTTAAGGAGTTATGTTGATGACTCTTGAAATGAGTCTTGGAGAGTCGGTGTGTGAGCAAGTGAGTCTGTGAGCAGAGAACTGATCTGTAGGAAGAGCGTTCCGGTCTGCTGGTGAGTAGTGAGTTCAGTCTGTGAGCAGAGAACTGATCTGTAGGAAGAGCTTTCCGGTCTGCTGGTGAGTAGTGAGTTCAGTCTGTGAGCAGAGAACTGATCTGTAGGAAGATCGTTCCGGTCTGCTGGTGAGCAAGTGAGTTCAGTCTGTGAGCAGAGAACTGATCTGTAGGAAGAGCGTTCCGGTCTGCTGGTGAGTAGTGACTGTGAGGAGGGTTTGCCTTGGGTCTGTCTTATATGTGTGTGTGTGTGTGTGTGTGTGTGTCCTTGCACGCTGCAACCTGTGTGATAGTGACGTAGCAAGTGCAGGCTCTGACTTGTGGCCATCTGACGTCACACACACACACACACACACACACACACACACACACACACACACACACACACACACACACACACACACACACACACACACACACACACACACACAGCGAAGAGGCGGGGCCAGGAGCTATGAATCGACCCCTGCAACCACAAATAGGTGAGTACAGATAGGTGAGTACACACACACACACACACACACACACACATACACACACACACACACACACACACACACACACACACACACACACACACACACCACACACACACACACACACACACACACACAAAACACACACACATGATAACGACATACAAAATACTGAGAGGAATTGACAAGGTGGACAAAGACACTATGTTCCAGAGATTGGACACAGTAACAAGGGGACACAGTTGAAAGCTGAAGACACAGATGAATCACAGGGATGTTAGGAAGTATTTCTTCAGCCACAGAGTAGTCAGTAAGTGAAATAGTTTGGGAAGCGATGTAGTGGAGGCAGGATCCATACATAGCTTTAAGCAGAGGTATGATAAAGCTCACGGCTCAGGGAGAGTGACCTAGTAGCGATCAGTGAAGAGGCGGGGCCAGGAGCTCGGACTCGACCCCCGCAACCTCAACTAGGTGAGTACACACACACACACACACACACGCACACACACGTCTAGTAGCGTTCAGTGAGGAGGCGGGGCCAGGAGCTGAGTCTCGACCCCTGCAACCACAGTTAGGTGAGTACACGTGTGTGACAGTGTTATGTGTAGTGTGATGTTAGTGTGGTGAACAGTAGAGGTGATAGCTCCTTTGGACCTGTGTGTACTCACCTATGTAAGGTTGCAGTGGTCGAGTAACAGCTCCTGGCCCCGCCTCTTCACTGATCGCTAATGTGTGTGTGTGTGTACGCGCTAGCGCGCATGTATGTGTGTGACGTCAGAGTGCCACCAGCCAGAGCTTGTACACCCTAAGTCTCTATCACACCTGTTTCTACCCGTTCACCGCGCTATCACACACACACACACACACACACGCGCGCGCGCACACCACACACACACAACACACACACACACACACACACACACACACACACACACACACACACACACACACACACACACACACACATAGACATGTGCCTAGGACAAAATGGTAACTAACACACACACACACACACAGGCGGACAAGGTGGACAAAGACAGGATGTTCCAGAGATTGGACACAGTAACAAGGGGACACAGTTGGAAGTTGAAGACACAGATGAATCACAGGGATGTTAGGAAGTATTTCTTCAGCCACAGAGTAGTCAGTAAGTGAAATAGTTTGGGAAGCGATGTAGTGGAGGCAGGATCCATACATAGCTTTAAGCAGAGGTATGATAAAACTCACGGCTCAGGGAGAGTGACCTAGTAGCGATCAGTGAAGAGGCGGGGCCAGGAGCTCGGACTCGACCCCCGCAACCTCAACTAGGTGAGTACAACTAGGTGAGTACAGGGTGACAGCAGTAAGACAAGAGAGAGGGGTGGGTGGATTACATTTTCTTGGACTGCAAGAAGGCGTTTGACACAGTTCCACACATGAGATTGGTGCAAAAACTGGAGGACCAAGCAGGGATAACAGGGAAGGCACTACAATGGATCAGGGAATACCTGTTAGGAAGACAACAGCGAGTCATGGTACGTGGCGAGGTGTCAGTGGGCACCTGTGACCAGTGGGGTCCCACAGGGGTCAGTCCTAGGACCGGTGCTGTTTCTGGTATTTGTGAACTACCTGAGAGAAGGAATAGACTCCGAAGTGTCCCTGTTTGCAGATGATGTGAAGTTGATGAGAAGAATTCAATCGGACGAGGACCAGGCAGAACTACAAAGGGATCTAGACAGGCTGCAGACCTGGTCCAGCAATTGGCTCCTGGAGTTCAACCCCACCAAGTGCAAAGTCATGAAGATTGGGGAAGGGCAAAGAAGACCACAGACGGAGTATAGTCTATGGGGTCAGAGACTACAAACCTCACTCAAGGAAAAAGATCTTGGGGTGAGTATAACACCAGGCACATCTCCAGAAGCGCACATCAACCAAATAACTGCTGCAGCATATGGGCGCCTAGCAAACCTCAGAACAGCATTCCGACATCTTAATAAGGAATCATTCAGGACCCTGTACACCGTGTACGTTAGGCCCATATTGGAGTATGCGGCACCAGTTTGGAACCCACACCTAGCCAAGCACGTAAAGAAACTAGAAAGTGCAAAGGTTTGCAACAAGACTAGTCCCTGAGCTAAGGGGTATGTCGTACGAGGAGAGGTTAAGGGAAATCAACCTGACGACACCGGAGGACAGGAGAGATAAGGGGGACATGATAGTGAAATATAAAATATTGAGAGGAATTGATAAGGTGTACAGAGACAGGA